AAAGAAGCTGAGTCAAGGAGTCACCATGATTCTCCCGCTCCAGACAGATGCAGGTTAAGATCCTCCCTGGTAAGCCAGCTCGTGGGCTACATAGAATATTAGAAATGGGTTAGAACAATATGTAAGAGCTAGCCAATAAGAAGCTGGAACTAGCAGGGCCAGGCAGTGTTTAATAGAATACAGTTTCCGTGTAATTATTTCAGGCATAAGCCTGCCATGTGGGAGCCAGGGCTGCCGGAACGCAGCCCTGCCGCTCCTTCAACAATGGACTCCCTAATTTTATATACTAAAGTCAGGAAAATACTTTCATTGTATATAATTTTCTTCAAACAGAAGATGTGACGTATTTGCTCGGTTTTTACCATAATTAAAGATAACGTCTAACAAAAACGCAACACAGATGAAATTCCAGGTTGGTGGGAAGAAATTCTCATTTACAATTAAATGGAATGAAATCAAATGGAAGTCTTGCTAAAGAGTAGTGAGATTTATGAGAACACAAGAGAGATTGGTGATACAATCATTTTAGAAACCTCTGGATTAAGCAGGTTTAGGCCATGTTCTTTACATATTCATCCCCAGAACTGTCAATAATTACCATCCCAAAAGAGCATCACTCATTGGTAGGAGTCTGTCTCTCAATAATTCCAATGATGGACAGATGCCTAGGCAAATCACTTCAGGAAACAATAATGTAGACCTCCCACTGCTTATTTCATTAGTCAACAAATGACTCAAACAAAGGAGAATGAAGTCAGAGCCTACCCAACAGGCAGGCGCACCATGGCAGCTTTCGTAGCATAGGTGTGGATCCTCAAAACTGCACTGAGAGGCTTCAGGGACTTCCAGGTGATGGCTTCGGCTGTCAGGAGTCCAGGCTCCACGTAGGGACTGTCTTTTGTTAAGGCTTTGGGAGAAGGGAGATGTGTTGAAATGTGATTGTGGAATGATAACCCTCCTCCACTTGCATTGTGTTCTGTCCAGTAACAGCATACATAATCGTGAAGGGGAATCCAGTACTGATGGTATTCTAAAGGCATTCCTGAAATGCCAGATGCTGAGTTTATAAGTATGGGAAATAGCACCTGGCTTGGCTATTGCACTGCCTCCCTATCCCGTTCACTCTTAATAATCATCTCCTCAGACAGAAAAGCTGGGATGAGAAAATTGAGAAAAGGAGGACGTGCAGATATATTTCATCATAGTCTGCTACTATTTTTTATCATCTCTATGCATAATTAGAATATCTTCACAGATGCAACTTTAATGAGAAGTTGTACAGTATCCAGAATAATAAGAGATTTTCAAGATGGTATTAAAATCAAAATATTTCCTTGTCTATCGAAATGTTTGTCTTTCAAAATCTAAAAGTCTTTGAACTTAAATAGAAGTTGCAAAAGAAAAAATTTAATCAAGTAAGTTTTTCTTTAAATGTGCATCAATAATGATGCATCAATGACTGAGAACATAATGAATTTTGTCTTTTTTCCAAAAGAGAACCCTCTGAAGATGAAGGTACAAGGTCACAGTGTCCTCATGCATGCAAAATTTCAATATCCTGGAACATGAGGACTTCAGAGCGCTTTGCTAAGAAGGCATATTAAACTGAAGTCACTAAATTTTGGTAATTTTATTAAGTGGAATATTTATTTGGCACCTGTTACACAATATTCGCTATTCAAGACAACTAAAATTCAAGATGAAGCATAAAAGCTCTCACCTTTAATATTGTCAGAATACTCAGTTCTTAAGAATTTGGGAGATATTTGTTGAACAACTGTAATCTGTGACATGGTTAATTTGAGTTAAAGATGATCTTTAATAAAATATGCAAAAGAATCAAAAAATATCACATAGTCAGATAGCCTGTCCAAGCAGGGAAGCCCACCCACTAAAGGAAGAGGCAAGGCAAGTTAGGGCCACGGGGAGTTTGTGTGGAGAAACGAGGCCAGCCACTTCCCAGTGAAATCAGGAGCATGGCTTTCAACTGAAAATAAATGAGAATAAGAGTAGTATGTGAAGCCAGGCAATGATGGCGCACGCCTTTAATCCCAGCAGAGGCAGGCAAATCTCTGTGAGTTCAAGGCCAGCCTTTTCTACAGAGTGAGTTCCACGACAGGCTCCAAAGCTACTGAGAAACCTTGTCTTGGATGACAAAACAAAACAAGACGAGAGTAGATGTGAAAGAGAGACTTCCAAGTTTAGCCTTTTGTGAGAAGAGTGGGAGAACAAGCAAACTAGGGACTGCCTACAGAGGGGGGCGTGCTGAGATCTGGGTTCCTTGGTGTGGAGTGGGCTGGCCAGGACAGGAGTTCCTTTTCCCAGTCATATTCAGATGCTCCTTTGCAGCCAAACATTTGACAGAGAGTTGAGTTTATTATTGGGATGCTTCTCAGGGAAGGGTGATGGAAAGAGGTAAGGGCAAGTGTGTTTACTAGGCAGCATTTTCAACCTATGGTCTATGGGCCGCATGTGGCTCTATGTAGCTAACGATAGCCATGTCTGCAGCCCAACAGAAAACCATTAACATACTTAAAACACTGTGAGATTTTGTTTTTGTTAAGTGGATTGCATCGTTCCCTAGCATGGACTTTGTAGATGTCACTGTCAAAAGGCTGAGCATGTCCAGTAGGGTGACAAAAGGACATAATTGCAGTGATTGGCAGAGAACTTATACTGGAGTAGGAGGGAAAAGGTCATAAAAATGATGGGCATATTAGGAATGGTATAGCATAGATGGATGGAGAGCTTGTTAGAGTCAAGAATTATAAGGCTGGGAGTCTGAAGAGAGGAAACACTGGAGAGAGATTTAATATAGTAATTATATTTAATAATATAATTTTATTTAATTTAATAAATATTAAAGAGATTTAATATTTAATAACGAGAAGTTATTTAATTAATTCAAATTAGTCTGACACTAGCATTAACATAATCCATTGGCATCACTTCCATGAACTTAGTCATTTCCCACAAGCCTCTAACTCAGAAAGATCTCTCACCACACTGAGGGACAGGGGGCCACAAGTCACAGAGGAACCCAGAATGAGCTAAAGGAAAAAGTCATTTCTGATCTTTGTCAGATCAAGTAATAAGGAAAATAAGAATGATAACAAGTAGAGGCGAAACGAAAAGCAAGACTGAGCATGCCAAAGACCTGAACAAGAGACTGTGGCCAAAAAAGAATTGGTGGCAAGAGTAAGCAGAGTACCCAGTGTTGGAGGAGCAAGGGCAACAAAGGTGGTGGCAGGGGCAGTCCCTTGTAACTCTGCAAAGAGATAGTTTCATCACCTAGGGACTGAAAGTTTTATTGTTACATGTTCCCTAGCCCACCTGTGCTCTGGGCATCTAGACGATGGTGCTCTCAGAACCCTCTTACCTCCAGATTCCCCCCAGCGCACCAAAGCGGAAAAGCAAACCAGCAGTTCAATAGGCTTCAGGCTGTCCACAAACAGATAGTAGGGCACACGTTCCTCTGAGAACTACAAGAAATCAGACCAGTCATCAGGCTTACCAGTCCAGTCATCCTTCCAGGCATAGTGTAGTTCACACACAGTGAACTACATTCTTACTGCATTCTCTAGACCAGAGTCAGTACATTACAGGTCTAATGAGATGAAGCAATAATCTGTGGCAGCTGGGTCTTGAACCTCAGAGAGTCTTGTTGCTGAATTAGAAAACTCTTCTGCAGGAAGAAAAATAGGGAACCACCAATTCCAGGAATGCAGTTGTGAGAAAGGGGTCAAGCAAAGGGCAGAAGGTCAGCTACAGACAGGCAAGAAGGCACAGACTGAGCATTGTAGCGAATGAAATTGCCTAATAGGGATTCATTTATGCATTTTGCAGAGTGTTGCATAGAAAAACAAAATAAAACAAAAAAACTTTTTTTTTTCATTCTTCTCACAAGATCATCAGAAATATAACCTCGGCTTGCTGATGTTCAGGGTGTTTTGTTTCAGAGATACAGTAAAGTGATTGGTCACATCAGAATTCTTTGGAAAGACAGTCACATAGAGCTACACGGTTAAGACTTCTGTGTGTTCTATAGAGAACTATGAGTAGCCCTAATTTCCAAGAAAATGCAAAGCAGAATAAGTGGGTTGCCAAAGGCACAAAGTTTGTAGGTAGCAAAGCCAAAGCTTGTCTCCAACACTGTACTCATGACTATGGCCTTGTTATTGCTTCTCAACTTCACAGTTCTTTAATATAACTTTGAATGGTGGCAAATATAAGCACATTCAACAAATGTAGTTGTCACTATGCTGTGGAAGAATGTCATAGAAGTGCTACTTTACCGCAATATTTAAACAACCAGTTAGTAGCAGGATGATGAATCTCTAGTCACACTGTAATAATGAAAAGCTTGCTATTCAATAACTATAAAATCATTGCTAGAACTGTGGCATAGTATAAGATCCAAGTCACTGCCTCCTCTCCGGTATTATCTATTAGTTACCATCCAACCATTTCTTTTATGTTTCCTATGACTTACAGTATACTAGTGTCATTGACAGTTGTTTTAAATACTCATTATTTGAGTGTGAAGGACCTTGGGTCTCCCAGTCCACCATGTGTCTGTGAGGAGAAATGAGCTCTGCAAGGGGCTCAATTTTAAAGGTTTAGCATTTAGGGCATTGGTTTTCCTCAAAGCCATTCATGAGTGACTTTCAAACGTCTTTTTCCCATCCTCACATTGAGCATTGGGAGAATATCTGTGAGGTGGGCTGTGGCCACCGGCTCTGTGCTAAAGTTGGCAGGACCAGTGACTAAAGTAGGAAAGCCTGGCCTAAGACCACATTCAACCCTTTCTTTGAGACTGCATGGAAGCTTTGAGCTCCAATGTCTAAAATATAT